TGTAGTGGCGTGTCTGTGGGGTGTGTGTGTAGTGGTGTGTGTGTGTAATGGTTGTGTGTGTGTAGTGGTGGCGTGTGTAGTGGTGTGTATGTGTAGTGGTGGTGTGTCTGTGTGTGTAGTGGTGGTGTGTGTGTAGTGGTGGCGTGGGGAGCTGTGGTGTTGCGACTCGCACGTCCACTACGAGCTCGGCGACGCGAGTTCGATTCCCGCTCACGGCCAACACCAGTGACGATTCTATGAATAGGCCCTGGGAGTCCCCTAGGTCCACTCAGCCTCAAATGAGAGCCTGGTTCGATTGTGTAAACAATCGCCACTGGGGAGACAAAGGCGGCCGTGCGTAATGTTGGCCACTCACCTTCTCGTGTACCGTTCTCGCCTTAACAGGTGCTTACTAACAGCACTTGCCCCAACAATCAGTGGCTACACGGGGGATCTTTGTTACGCGCGTGCGTGTGCAATTGGGACAGGAAACCCCAGTTTTACAGCACAATTGCGATCAGCAGGAATCGGAGCAAATGTTATTTTAGTACAGTGCGATAATTAGCTGAGATAATTACTGCTAATCAATAGCGTTTAGAACTGCATGTGTTTGCCATGTGTTGTATAATTGCTATGTAAATACACAACACGACACAGCACGCGATACACAAAGATAACACACACCCCCCTCCCCGTATAGCCTCACTGACTTTTGGGGCAAGTGCTGTTTGCGAGCACCTATCAAGGCCGGCACAGCACACGATGTCGGTACAGGGGGTGGGTAGCCAGCACCACGTCCGGCCGCCTTTGTCTCCCCAGTGGCGATGTTTTTACACACCACACCAGGTACTAATTTGAGGCTGAGTCGACCTAGGGGAGGCCCAGGACCGGTCCAGATAATTAATCATCACTGGTGTTGGCCGTGAACGGGAATCGTATAGCACGTCAACACACGCACATACACACGTTATTCCACCACGCTTTCGCCACGCTGGCGAATGGGATGGTGGTTGTGGGGGGTGAGGCATCTCCGAGTGAGGTTCAGCACAGTGGATGATTCTTTACTGCCCTCTGCTGCCCACATCCGCCGTGGCTCCACACAAAAAAAAACCCGAGTCGAATGGACCACGGCTCTGTGGTGGCCTCGGCACAGAAAGTGGCTCGCGTTGGGTCCCAGCAGTAGCGGTGGTGGTGTTTCACCTTTGCTGCCGCCTTGAAACCCTTTGGTTCTCAGTCGTAAACATGTACAATGTTAATACACACGTAGGGGGGTGTGTGTTTGATGAAAACAAAGTAGTTGGCACGTCCGTGCCCGTGATTAATTTGTGTGTTCGATGATTTATTTACCTTCTAAAATAATTTCACTATGTAACACGATTTTTGTTCCTGGGTCATAAATGTTATTTTTTATTGCTTATGCCTCAAAAGTATAGAAAATGTCTGTTATTCCCCACAAACGTTGCTTTTGTGACCACGACTTTACGTGAAGGAATGACACAAATGCACACTGAAAATAGGTACATTTTAAAATATCACTGGGGCCTTCATCGTAACATTACATCGATAGTAGGTGTTAAAAAATGTATTTTATGAACGATGAAGAAGGGCCATTTGACAAAACATCCATCCCTTTCATTTATGGCCACACACTGTTGTTGTTTGACGGCCGTGTTGAGTGTCTCCTGTTCGGGCGACAGCTCGTGTTTATTTAGGGGTCCACGTTGACCCGTGTGACCACGGGGAAGCCGCGCTGATTAAACACAACAGCCAGGAGGGTATCGCGGCGCTTTGGTGAATCCACTGATGGGTGAAGGCATCCCCTCCCCCCCACTATGCTCTGTCGGTCGTGGGGGTTGTTTGACCATACTTCACGACACTGGGCAGTGCCCAGCGGCTACCCACCAGTTCGATTTCCACTCATGGCCAACTTCCATGGCGAAAACCTTAAACGGACCCTTGGCTCTCCCCTGGTGCGATGTGTAAAATCAGCATTGTGGAGAGACAAAGGCGGTCGGGCGTTGTTCTGGACACCACCATTATCGTGCGCCGTGTCGGCCTTTATAGGTGCTCGCAAACAGCACTTGTCCCAACAGTCTGTTGAAGGCTGTATGGAGGATGCTTGTCTTCGTGGTGTGTGTGTGTATTGATATGTGTGGGGAGCGGTGGTGTCGCGGTTAGCGTGCTGCGCTACGAACCCGGCAACCCGAGTTCGATTCCCGCTCACAACCAACATCAGTGGCGATTATCTGAACCGGTCCTGGGCCTCCCCTAGGTCGTCTCAGCCTAAAATGAGTACCTAGTGTGATGTGAAACCGTGGCTACAAGGGAAAGCAAACAGCCTGGTGTGGTTGTGGCCACCCAACCCGTTGTATCCCATGCCGGCCTTCATAGGTGCTTGCTAACAGCACTTTCCCCAACAGTTTTCTGTATGTATGTTGAACTTCTTTCGCACTGTACCTAGCCAACCGTGCTAATCGGAGGTTTATTGATGTGGGTGTGTGTTGGAATGTATGTATGTGTGTATGTGGTGTGTGTTCGATTCCTGGCTGTGGGTGACATCAATGGGGAGAGATATCTGCCCTGTTTTGTCCGTCCACTTAATCAGCAGTGAAGTATGGTAAACCCCATAATCCACATGACATTGGGAAGGATGCCTTCATCCAGCAGTGGATTGACAAAGGGCTTATAAATGATATTATTCGAGACCCAAACATCACACCACCTGGCTTTGGCATTCCTCTAAGACACCCGCATCAGAACGTCCCCGGGCCGATGCGAACATCTCCTCCACGCCGCAGTCGTGCGATTTTGGCCATGCAACTCAAACTGCAGATCAAACACTAACACCAGATATACATAGGGATACACAGAGACTCGTAGATATACTTAGAGACACATAGAGATACATTCAAGACAAGCCACATTCGTGCGATTGTGGCCATGCAAAGCCACACTATGGACCATATACTAAACCCAGAGATACATAGGGATTCATAGAGACGTGGAGATACATAGAGACTCGCCGAGATACATTTAAGCCACAGGAGTGGTTATGCAACCCAATAGGAAACCACTGCAGTGCGCGCTCCTTCAACGGAGGAGCAGCACCACCCAAACTCTCTCTCACTCGAAGCCCTCTCGTCGTGGCCAGCAGACCCCAACACTGGGCACCGAGCTCCTGAACGCACTGCTGCCATCATGCGCAGCAACAGCATTGGTAGCATAGTGAGAGACGGAGGAATACAATGCAGTGCCGCTGTTCTGGATTCATGGCTGTTTAATAGCAACCCGGCTCTGTAATGCTCAGCACGGGATAATTAATAATTACTGTGCGGGGCAGACCGCAAACCCCACAATGAATCAGCAACAAGCAGACTGCCTGCTGCACAACCGCGTATTTACTAGCTGGCTATTTATTCATCGACTCATTTTTTTATTCTTTCGGCATCGGGATCCGTGGACATATCTGTCGCCTTCCGCGCGCGTGAGAACGTCGACGAGCGTTCGAGCTGGGAGGAGGTCCCCTCGGCCGTGGTGTCAAGCAAAGTCTCGCCGTTTTATTTTATGAGGCTTTTTATTTTACGACCAATGGTAGGATGCGTAATTCTTTCGTGTAAACAATTGTCAACGTTGAGCTCGCTTTCCAACATTCCTCTTCCTCTGGTTTTGCAAAAAAAAAAACCATATGGATTCGGCTATATTTGTCCACCCACGTAACAAGTTGATTTTTGATTCGCTCTGTCGTGTGGGAATAGCTGAACATTGGCATTTTACCTTCTCCACAATCAGTTCAGTTCAGTTAATTTATTAGGCATAGCCCTGTGAGCCATTCGGCTCTTGAATCGGGTGCAACCGCAACAAACAAAAACATGAACAAGAAACATCTTAAAGTGACTACGCGCAACAGAAAGATCCAGGGAAAAACAGCAAAGTCTTCCAGAAAAAGCACCGTATATCAACGCTGTGTGCAAAAATTTCAGTGGGATGCAAGTAAAACAATAACAACCATGATACAATTTAGATTAAAGTTATCAGTCTAACTCTGTACAACCTACAAACAAATATGGCTAATCCAAAACGTTTTCGAAATCACCAAAATAAAGCTATAAAAACAACGTAACAGTGATCATAGGAACTGTGATTCAAATTTAACAATAAACGATATACATAACATGTACGATCAAACTTTGCAAGCCATAGCTGGCAGCGTGAGTCATCTCCATAACAGCAGGAGTATCAGTAGGACTATAAAAAAAAATGCACCTTTAAAGATCAGACCCAAATAAGTAACTGGTTATAAATCATACTTGGCTCTGCTCGATGAGACCTCTGAACGTTGAAACCGGTTTCGGAGTTTTTCACTTGAATGATCGATGCCGCTTGAAATGATGCTCTCCCCAGAGAGGCAGGCCGCGGCGGCTGATAGGATGTGCGGGAAAAAAAATATTCGCTTTGATTTCATTGTATCTGGAGGGAGAGATATGCGAGGGAGCCGCGTATTGTCAGACTGTTGGTTGCGTTTGGTCTGAGAGCTGTTCACGGCGGGAAGAGTCTACCACTCACTGGAGCTGGAGGCGTTGTATCAACGTGTCGTTCTATATAAACCACAAACAACATACCAACGTGTCCTATACAAGACAACATGCAGATAATATTCCAACGTTGTTCTTTTATACCAACGTTTCCAGTTAAAGTCGCCAAAGATTAGGCTTGACATTCAGTGAGATTAATTTGGAATGTTTGCTGCGGATTTTGAGACCGCAGTATTTAGTTCAGGGTGGTGTAACAGTTCCAGTAGATTTGTTGGTGTGCTTGTGTTTATAGCGAGTGGGGGATCAGCGTTTAGCGCACTGAACCTCATCTCCATGGCGTGGTGCTGGCCACATCACCCCTCGTGTGTCGTCTCACACCAGAATAGGTGCTCGCTGCCAGGACTTACGAGAACGGTCTTTTAAAGGCTCTATTGGACATCGTTGTAGTCGTGAACGGAGCTCATGAAACACTTGCTCGGTGTTTTACAGAAGGCTGCTTGGCTTGCAGTTGGAGCAGGAATTATTGGCGCAAGGCACTACCACTCGGGTGTAAGGTACGTTCATCCTTAATAATAATCCTATATTATTGTGTGTGTGCATGTCGGTGCGTGTTTCTGTATGTATGTATGTGTGGGTATGTGTGTGTATCTTTGTGGGTGTTGGTGTGTGTGCGCGTGTTTGTGTGTTTTTGCGTCTCTGTGTGTGTGCGCGTGTCGGTGTGTGGGTGCATGTCGGTGTGTGTGTGTTTCCTCCATAAACAGAAAAAAGCCATTGCACTTGCCCACGTGGAATGTTCAAACTCTTAGGAGGAGAGGCTGCCACTCCTCTGTTGGGGCCTGGACCGGTACTGACTGGATCTCTGTTGTATTCAGCAAGTCTGGTGGACTGTTTCTGGCTCCTGTCATTATGAGGGGTGGGCAGTCCTTTACTTGGGGCAGGAAACTGCCAACAGCAGGGAGTGTCTCATCTTCTGAACAAAATAATAAAGGGAGCATGGGAGCATGGTGGTGAGGTGCAGGAAGCTGCAAGCCCAAGGCGACTATGGGCTCGCCTCCCCATCAGTGGGAGGTGAGGAATAGTGGTTGTAGCTTACGCCCCCACCGAAGATGAACACCAGTGGAGGGATGTAGGCAAGGCTGGTGAGTCAGATGCCTTCTATGACCAAATGTGGCCCTTTGGAATAGAGTCATCCTGTTAGGTAACATTAATGCCTGAGTGGGCCATGACGCAGGCACCTGGGCAGGAGTGATTGGAAGGCATGGGCCAGATTAGTTCAATAACATCGGTAAGAGGCTACTACACTTCCCTGCAGCCCATATGCTTGTAATTACCAACACACTGTTTTGGCAACGGCACATCCACACAACATCATGGATGCATGCTGGGTCCAATCAAGAACATCTGCTGGCCTATATATTGATGGAACAGCGGATATGGGCCCATGTTCTTGACACCAGGACCTACCATGGAGCTAATCTGCCCACTGATTAATTATATTATCAGCTTGTCATCTGTAAGATGCACCTGCCATCCTTTCACTCCAGTAATGGGTATTAATTTAGGACACCATTAAAACCCACAGTCGCCTGATCGCTGCTAGCTGAGGATAGTTGCAAGAAGGTATTTCAACATCGCTTGCAGCTGGGGTTGACATCATCCACAACTCTTCCTGATGCTGATGCAAAATGGGGGAGGTTAAAAAATGTGGCTCATGCAGCTGCAATATCTGAATTGTACATATGTTGAACTTTTTTCGCACCATACGTAGCCAACCGTGCTAATCGGAAGTGCAGTCCAGACCTCCCGAGGGTCCCTGGGCGAAAGAGAATGTGTTCCAGCTGGTTGAGAGAAAATGACAGGCCCACTCCTGTTGTCTACAACATCCAACATCGGAGAATGAGCAGGCTTACCGCAGCATTTGCTCGGAGCTTCAGAGACCTATGCCGTGCAAGGGTGAGTGGTGGGACAACATTATGGGGAAAAGTGGGGACGACCCTGATGGGGCAGCTGTGCCTCAAATATTGGCAAAAGTTGCCACTGCTTGTGAGTGGTTGGCTGAGGTGGCATCTGTTGAGGAAGTGTGGAAGGCAATCCGCAGTCTGAAACCAGGAAAAGCGTCGGGCAGAGATGATCTTCCAAGCAAACTGCCGAGGAAGGAGGGTGTATCTGTGAAGATTGCCCTATACAACATCGTAATGACTGTCTGGACCACTGGACAGATTCCCTAGGATTGGAAGGATGCCTTGGTGGTTCCCATTTTGAAGAAGAGGAACTGCACACACTACAGGGACATCTCCCTCCTCAGTATTCCAGGATAGGCCCTGGCAAGGATTATTCAACACTGCCTTGCCAGGCACGCTGAGGAGAGGCTTACGGAGCTCCAATGTGGTTTCAGGTCAGGGCGGTCCTGCACAGATGCCATATTTTCTGTCCGTCTGCTACAGCAGAGATGTAGGGTATTCCAACAGGACCTACATCTTTGCTTTATTGACTTAGCCAAGGCCTATGATACCATCAATAGGCCTGAGCTCTGACTCTCTGCTCACAATTATTAACAATCTTCATGATTGTGGGCGGGCCCAGGTAAAGCTATATGGCCAGGAGTCAAAGCCATTTCCTGTTCACCTTGGGGTAAGACAGGGATGTCCTCTGGCTTCTACAATATTTAACATCTTCTTCGACCCCGTAGTTCCAGAGGCCTTCCATGCCTGTACTGGAGGAATCTCCACCTGGTACAGATACAATGGGAGGCTGATCGTGCGGTCCAGGGACGTCTTCACTCAGAGGAGGAGTTGGAGGCATTGCTGATAGACCTAAAGTGTGCAACTAAGCACCTTTCTGGGTATTTTGTGACATCAACCACTCCACTCCCTCAACTCGCCATTGGTGATGGGACAGTTGTGGACAGAGTGGAGAGGTTTCCATACCTGGGCAGTATGCTTATGAACACATCCGGTTTGACAGCAGAGGTCTGACTCCAAATGAGTCGAGTGGCATTATCTTTTCATCGGTTGTGTAACGCTGTGCAAAAGCTACCTGGTCTGTCACTTCAGACGAAGCTTCGGGTCTTCTTGGCCACGGTGATGCCATTCCTTATTTATGCTTGCAAAATGTGGGCCCCCTAATGGAACATTTTTGCTGGTTGGAAACATTCAGGCTGGCCTGCCTACGATCCATCCTAGGTTTAGCCGAGCTGGATTGTGTGAGGAGTTCACAAATCCTCGAAAGATCTGGACAAAGTCCCATCGGTGAGCTCGTCCAGCAAGCAAGGGTGCATTGGCGGGGTCATGTAGCCCGCATGCCCAACCATTGCATGTCCAAACAGCTTTTGTTTGGCCGGATAGAGGGGACTAAATGGGCGTGACACGGGCTAGAGAAGAGATAGAGTGATGTGGTACAAGAGGATGTGGAGCTGAGTGGACTTGCTGATGACTGGTACCAGCAGTGTTAAGATGGGCCTCTGTGGAAGAGGCTTGTGAAGGATGCTACTGGGCAATTAAAGGCAGCTGCTCTCCAGCAACAATGGAGGGCAGAGGAGCGACGCTCTTAAAAACGAACAGAGCGCCGGATGGCTAAAACACAGCAAGTTGGCACAGTAGGGGGCAAAGGTGGTGCATCTCCCAGTTATTTCGGTCAGTCAACTCATGGCATCTGGGTCTGTTTCGTGACCTGCCAGCGGGCGTTTGACACTTCACGTGGCCTTAAAGTGCACACGCGCCATGATGATGCCACCATCACTTAGTGGTGAATTTCGGTTGATGTTGTGTGCATATCTGTTTGCCCGTGTCAGTGTGTGTGTGTGCATGTCATTGTGTGTTTTGCGTGTCGGTGGGCTCGTTTGGGTGGGTGTGTGCCTGTAGGTGTTTGTGTGGAGGCTGTCATCCAGAAGTGGATTGACTTTCGTGCTGTACACGTGTGTAATGTGCAGGGCTGTGGGTGTAAGTAATGGGTTCAGGAGCAGACAGTGTGTGCAATGAGCACCACATTCTTCTAGCTTCGTGCCATGGGGCCCTGACGAATGCCAAATGCTCCTTGTGTGATCGCCATTATGCCAAATAACACAAGCATGCTCTACGTGTGTTTCTCCACGGGGTTTATATGTTGGTACATATATTACATCGTGTGTGTGTGTACGCATGTGTGAATCGTGAGTAGCATTGGCGCAATGGTTAACGCACTGTGTTACGAACCCTGGGCAACGCAAGTTCCGATTCCTGATCACGATCAATATCAGTGACTATAATCTAAACCGGTCATGGGCATCCCCTAGCTCGACTCCGCCTCAAACACGAACCTGGTGCAGTGGATAAAACATCACTGCTGGGCATGGTGCTGGCCACCCAAACCCTCTCGTGCACGACTTTCATGCGTGCTACTTACTAACAACACTTGCCCCAGCAGTCTGTTAAGGCTATACTGGAGCTATTTGTCTGTGAGTCAGTGTGCTCTCTTTTCCTGTGATTTGCTGCATATGCCGCCTCCGGTGATTGATCACACTGGCTCTAGCTATTGAGGCTCGTGTGTGTGGGCGGTGTGTGTTTGTTTGTGCCTGTATTTGAAACATGAAGGTGAATTATAGGAAGCTGTGAGTTCCAAGCTACCATGGGCTTGCCTCCCTATTAATGGGATGCTATGATTGGTGGTTGTGGTGGCTTATGCCCCCACCGAAGATGGAGATCAGTGGAGGGACACAGACACGTCCGATTAGTCAAATGCCTTTTTATGACCTCCTGTCCCAGATGCTGGTTAAAGTATCCCCTCAGGATAAAGTCATCCTGTTGCGTGACTTACATGCCCAAGTGGGTTATGATGAAGACACCTAGGCTAAAGTAGTTCTAAGGCAAGATGCAGATCAGCTCAATAATAACTGTAGGATAGTATTATTTATTTATTTTTTCATACGTGACTTTACCTAAAAAAACTAAGAGTATGAATCCTTGTAGTCATGAAAGCTTCAAATCTAGAATAAACTGTAGGAGACTGCTGCTCGACTTCTGGGCAGTGAGCATGGTGATGAGGTGCGGAAAGCTGTAAGCCCAAGGCTACTATGGGCTCGCCTTCCCATCAGTGGGAGGTGAGGAATGGTGGTTGTGGCTTACGCCCCCACCGAAGATGAACATCAGTGGAGGAATGTAGGCAAGGCTGGTGTGTCAGATGCCTTATATGACCTCCTGTCATAGGTGCTAGCTAATTTGGCCCTTTGGAATAGAGTCATCCAGTTAGGTAACATTAATGCCCGAGTGGGCCATTACGCAGGCACCTGGGCAGGAGTGATTGGAAGGCATGGGCCAGATCAGTTCAATAACATCGGTAAGAGGCTGCTAGACTTCGCTGCAGCCCATGGTCTTATAATCACCAACACGCTATTCCCACATCAGGGCATCCACACAATATCATGAGTCCAAGCAAGAACATCTGCTGGACGATATAGTGATGGAACAGCGGATGTGGGTCCATGTCCTTGACACCAGGACCTATTGTTCAGCTGATCTGCCCACTGCCCATCGTCTTGCCATATGTAAGATGCACCTGCCATTTTTGCACTGTACTGGTG